TCTCAGTCAAATCAGATGGGTAGGAGCAATGTTCATGTATTCCCCTGATGCTTTTGCTCTACTCTATTACAACAGTGTTGTGGATTATTTTTATTCCCTTTTTTAAAATAGAGAAAGAGTGCTCAAATTGCTACATCCAATGGATGGAATTCTGCCATCTTCCTTAAGTGCTTTCTTCATTCCCATAACACTTTTTTCTTCTTTTTTTTTTCCTTTTTTTTTTCTTCTCACTAGAACAACTTCTACTTCATAGTATAAATGTATACAATATTTATATTGTGAATAATAAATATAAATCACTGCTTTTGGTGACTAATTACTTATTCTTTTGGTGTTACTCTCTGATGCCAATGATGATCTATAAACTGCTTAAGCTTCCTGTGATGCTAAACAGCTGGGTTTTGGTTTTGTTTTTTTTTTTTTTTTTTTTTTTTTGCTAATATGTGGTATGTTTGTTATTTTTTTTTTTTTTTTATTCAAGTTTTTTACAGACAGAATCACTCAGCTAGTCCAGAGTAAATATTTGCACATGCTCAGATGGAAAAGATTTTGCACACACAGCAGTGTTATTGAGCAGCTTTATCCTCTCTATCAGGTAGGATCCCAAATCCAACATCTAACAGGAGTTAACAATGGCTTTCTTTTCACCCAAAGGAAGAACTACTAACATTAAGGATGATGTATAGAACTTGGAAGTCTTTAGATTTTATTATCTGTTACAGCAGCATCTGTAGCACAGATTAATATGGTTTCAAGCACTGCAACACTTATCTGGAATATTACTCCCATCCCTCCTTCCACCTGACAGTACATAATACAATTATATATATATTAGGCATTTAATTCTGTTTAACTTAAGGTGCTATGGTTTATTGAACAAATGTGAACAAAAGGAAGATAGAAGGTTTTAACTTTTTATTTCTACTTTTTTTGTTCTTATTTGTTGTAAAAGCAGTCTTTTTTTTTTAAGTTCAGTATCATTGATATCCCAGAATAAGCAGCTTTTTCTGCAAATAAACTGAGTTCTCTTACAGCTGAATATGTTTTTCTCTCTTCAGACATGAATAAATGTCAAGCAGAATAGTTTACATAACTGTCTTGCCACTATTCTTCAGTGTTGTAATTCACACTTGTTGATTGAATCTTCTATTAAATCATCCATTTTTCTGTATTGTCAGTGACTGTATTTTCTATTGGGCATGGTTGTGTCAGCATTTTCAGTAGAACTTTCACTCTTTAGGTGGTTTGAGCTTTCTAGAGGTCATAATTGCAGGGGATCGTGGTGGTAGGGCTTGGTAACGAAGACAATAAAGAGATTCACCACTTTCCCACATGAACTTAATGCCAAGAAACAGAACTGCCACTTGCTGTTTGGGAAATGTGTGAGCTGAGGCCGGGAGAGAGAGAAAAGATTCTCTGATGTAAGCAGGGAAGTGGCAAATGGCTGTGTGTGTTGATTACTAGGCCCTGTGCTATTAACACTACCATGGTAACTCATGCCATTATTGATAGTTCAGTAAAAGGCAAAATGTTGTGTAGAAGATGGTCAAAGTGCATTTCCAGTTCCTGGCCAGTTCCAGATTGACTCTAATCAGCATAGATGAGCATTTAGATGTGTGGTTCCCTAAGGGGAAGTTTTCTTACAAGGTCAGCAATATGTGCTTCTAAAAAATTGCACTTTTGCTCAGTCTTTTAAAGGAGCAAGTTGAGGAAACTAGGCATTTGTATTTGAAAAGTCTTCAGGTAGTGCCTTCTCTGGTCCTTCTTGAAGAGTCTTATTTTAGTGGATAGGACATGAAAAGATCACTACACGTTCTTCACTGTTATTAATCTGTCTGCATTCACACTGATGTCTTATTATACTCACATACTGTCTGCTCATGGTCAGTATTAGACACTCAGAAATATTCACTATTTAAACTGAAATTCACTTTAATCCTTTGGAAATATAGTTCTTCAGCATTTAGGATGCAAATAAAACTTAGAGGTTACTTTCAAACTGAGATTTCTTAAGGAATACAATGACCTTCTAGCTAATAAGAAAAAGATGCATGTGTGCAAAGATGATAGCATCTCTTCTGTATACCTAAACAGAAGCAAGTTAGTCACATCATGGATGAATACAATGATGCAGTTCAGAGGGCTGCAAGGCTTTCAGTGGCAAGGGAGAACTTCCTGACAGGAAAGAAAAATGCAATGAATGTAGTGACAAAGGAAGATCTGCTGATTTACACCCAATGGTTAGTGTGCCACCTACACTCTGTGAAGGGCATTCACCGTTTTCTGCAGGTAAGATGAGCATTTTGAGCAGTAAAATGTAATTATACAACATTCAAACATTAGTAAACTGAGGAAGATAAAAGTCAGTGCAAAATCTAAGGGTTTGATGGTACTAAGCCAGACTGCATACATTTGACTTTCAATTCTTTTAGCACATTGATTTTTCTGGAAAGGAAATATGTAAATTTAGCTTTGTAATCGTTGTAAGTGAAATAACGAGTTCCGTGGCTGCAGAGTAGACAGTGCTGGGCTGTGTGGATTTAAGGAGCTCCAGAATGAGAAGAAAACTTGATTTTTTTTTTTCCATACTTGTTACTGTTGCGATGTTTTGATAGAGCAGAATGTTATGAAAGGGTTGAGTCATCTTGATGAATAGTCTGTAGATTTGAGGATTATTTGTTTAAGTATCACCCTTTGAAGACAAATATGAACACATCCTTATTTTATATAGTTGCTTTAATATTTTATTACATGAGTGCTACAAGTCATCGACAGTGAATGATCTTCTAAATTTATATACAATAGGTAATTATGATTTTCTTTTTCTTTCTTGTGTTTAATTTTATTATTTATTTTGCAGCTGAATAATTGTGTGGCTTCTAGCTGACTAAGAATAACAACAAACATGTTTTTAACTCCAGGTTCTCCAGCATTTGCCTGTTTCTCACAAACTGAGTGTGGTTGATGAGAAATGTCCTGATGTGATCCAAGACAAATGGGACAAATTAAGGAGTGCCTTTGACAGACATTCAGATGTTTTTAATACTGATGTGTTTTGCTGTTCAAAATTTTTAAGAAATGGTGAGAAATGATCAGCTTTCCTTTAGAAATCCTATGGATAATGCATTTGTTTATGTATATTCTTCAAGACCGGTCAACAGTGCAAATCTGGGAAACATTGAATGCTGTGTTTGGGTTGTATGCTTGAAAAATTTGGAGTGTGGCTTCTACAGTCAGCAAGAATCCTGGAAACCTGGTGTCCAAATTCCAAGGGGTGCAGCCTTGAATTTGTGGCAGTCACTCCTCTGGCCTTGCTGTGCACTGGGCTGCAGAAACAGGCAGTTTAGAAGAATACTTGTGGGGTCAGCTCAGTGGAGAATTCAGGATGTTGTCCTGATTATGCCAAGCCCTGAAACTCACCCTTTTAACTTTCTGCAAAAATATTATTCAAAATATTTCAGTGGGTGGCTGGTTTCTGGAGAAACTAAAACAAGAAGAGAAATGTTGTTTCTAGACACATAATGAAGTATCTCCAGAAAAATCTCCTTGTGGTCAGTTTCAAGTTCCCTTTCCTTTTGGAGGAAGGGAGGGAGTGATACTGCATGTATGGAGTTATCCATGTGAACAGCACTTAAGGCAGCATTCCTGTTGCAGAGTCTTTGACTCCAGTGGTTAATTCTGTGCTTTTACAGGCTGGGAATGATGTTGCACTGCAGGATCTCATGGAATGGGCTACGGGAAAATGCAGCCCTGGCTTCTCTTCTGGGGATGAGGCACACCGTTTGCCTCCTTGAACTCACAAAGAGCAGAGTGGAGGAACAAAGAGGGGCTGTGACTTGCCCTCCCCCTTCCTTCTGTCCACTGTAAACTTCTACCGCAGAATGTGGGCTTGTAGGTCTGCAAGGGCCTAGAAGTGGCACCTGAGGGAGAGCAACGTTGTAGGGGATATGATGGAGCATAACAATAAGGAAAATGTACATTTACCTGGGAAGGATAAGGGACCTTCAGTGCTTAGTTAGTTGTCATACTAAGGTCTAACTGGTCTTGCTGGTGCTGCCCTCTTTCACTCCTCAGCCCAAAAGTGGTGCCAGGTGTGGTTCTGCTCTGCCTCAGGAGTGCAGTGGTATCAGGGTTAAGGCACAGGGAGAGGCAAGTAATGTTTCTTTCATGAGTGGGCTATGAGAGGGAGGGACAAGGAGAGGGCAGATCTCCAGTGTATACAGTTCTTCTGCACCATTAATTTTGCAGAGGAAGAGACAGTTATTGTTATTTAAACAGCAACTCAGAAGTGACTTAGCTCATTTTGATCTTCAGTATCTACTTATCTAATATTTGAGGTACAGTATCATATTACCATCATAAGCTCCATTCATCTTCTATCTGGATCTGAGCTTCGTAGATGAAACATCAGAATGATTAAAGAAGACATGAAAAGCAAAGATGAAGTGAAGCTAAGATGGAACAAAAGAGCAGATGGCCCTTTATTGCTGAAACAATGAGATAATAAATTAGATTACCTGTAGTTCCACTAAACCCCAAGAGTTTTGATGAACTTTAGCAAGCAGTAGCTTTCCTATTAGTATCTTTGTGTGTATAAGCAGTATCATCAGTTTAGGGTAAAGGAGAATGAACTGGCACTTCTTTGGATTTTCAAAGATATTTGGAAAAAACGTAGCAGATAAAATGCTACTGTTTGTTTTGGCTTGGTGTGAGATGGAAACCAGGGAGTTTGAACAGTGGTCATTTTTCTGTGGAGAAAGATGGTGGCACAGGGCAAATGGTTTCTGCATTTAAAAAAACAACAATCAAACAAACAAAAAACAAAACTGTGTTAAACATTATTTTCAAAGCATTGAATAAAGCTCTTTATGAAAAGATGACAAAGCCTACAGGAACACAGTAGTTTTGGCTGTTCAAGAATGAAGGAATACTGATATTCTCCAAGGCTTGAACAAGGTTAAGTAGGAGAAAATATTTCAGTTTTTCTAAAAATGGGTGCTATGTCGCAGACAGACTCTTCAACACATACCCTAAGCTCCTCAACCATCCCTAGTACACTCTTGTTTCAGAAGTTTGTGATAGCAGCATCATGCCAGTATCAGGTACTGGAGGAGTGATAACCCTTAAATAGTAATGTGCTTGAAGTTCTTATGGCGTGACCTGTGAGGTGTGTGTGAGAGAGAAGAATGTTGTATACCCCTGAGCTATTACTTCTTGTTCAAGCAGCAGGATCTGTTACTTGGCATCCTTTCAAGGCATGCTTTCTTCCAAAGGCTGTGGAGGTGTCCTGAGCTGCAACAGCTGGTAGAATTTAAGGGTGTTGTGGAAGGCCCTTTCCTAAAAGTAAAACAAAAATCCATGCAAGTGTAGATTGTTTTTCATTCTCTCTCCTGCTTATTTCTGCTTCTGGATGGAAAAAATGAAATTACATCTTTGTGTGGATGCAAAGCAAGAGGCACTGATAGTACTGCTTTCAGTCATGTTGCTTGAAACGTTGACATTCTCCAGCTGATTATAATTATTGCAGCATCTTGCCACAAGGACACTGGATTCATTCTGCCCTGTCACAGCACTGAAACCAAGGAGCTGAAAGCCCAGCTCCAACTTCTGCTGGCTCACTTTGATATTGACTACAACCTTAAAGATCTCAAGGACCCAGCTGATGAGATGAAGCTCTTTTATTTGGTAACTGCTTTTTGATATTTAAAAACAAAAAGTAAGAAATATCTTTAAAAGTATGGAAGAATGTTCTATTTATGATAAGTCAATGTTTTGTGTTATGGAAAAAAAGCTTGTGGGAACTTTGGATCTTTACAGAAAGCAGCAGAGAGGCCTGGATTACTCTCGTTAGGCTGTAGCAAACACCAACAGTTTTGCAGAGTTTATACTTTGTGTTATTGCTTGAGTCTGTACCTTTGCTCTCCCAGCTCAAACTTGCACCTTTTGCATGCTTTTTTTTCTGCCCCTGTGTTGTGCATCCCAGCACTGCAATACTTCCACTAGAGGTCAGCTGATGCACATCATGACACAGGCATGCGGTGAGTAGCTCCTCAGTTCAGTGATTAACAGCAGGAAAATTCTGTTTTTGATCCATTTCACCAACCACAAGGCAAAATGTCTAAACCTCCGTCTTTTGTTCAGTGCCCAAAAGAGATGTGTAGATGTAAATAACGTTGTTTTTAAATACTTGCCTTGTCTTACAAATTGTGGCCTGTAGTGGTGCTGGTGGTACAAGTTTGGTTAACGTAAACGGGTCTGTAAGTCTGCCACAAACACAGCGTTTGAAATGATGTAGAATAACTTCATTGTAGGCCAGCAGTGGCTTATTAATTTTTGAACAGGCTTTTCAAAGTACCTCTTTCTTTTGGCCAATGCTATTCCTAGCAGAGGTGATGACAGTAGATTTGGCATTGACTGAAAGACAGTATGAGTTGTTGAAAATCTCATCTTCTTCTTAGGTACTTCAGAGTTAACTGCAGGGAGTTTTATTATGTCTGATGGAAAGGGAAAAACACAGAACCAAACTGTCTCCTTTGTCACTTTCCTGCTTCAGTTATTTATTTCAGCTGATAATATGCAGTATTACTTTTTTATAGAATTCAATATCCTGCTTGTGAAGTTTATTACAACATCATCTCCTTTTGTGCTACAGGTGGTCCAAAAATTTAGGAGCATCTTCTGCAAACAGCAGACAATGAGAACATTTCCAGATTATGACACAGAGATTTCTAGATTACAGAACTGGGGCATGTCAGGTCCAACCAGGGCTTTGAAGAAGAGAGCCAACTGGATCCCTTTTATAAAGGTAGCTATGAGTAACTCTCCTTTTTCAGCTGTCATAATAAAAAGTCCTAATCAGCCTTCAGGATGTATCAGGGTATATTTCAACAACTAAATTCTATAATGTTTCTTTTCACAAACAGTGATGATTTTTGAACAATTCAGTTCTTAAGTACCTGCTGTACTTCTGCATATTAGTATAGTGAAGAAAGAACTCCTATGCACGTCTGTTAAAAATAAAAAAGTAGAAGTGAATGTGTTGCACTTTCCTTTCTAAATATTGCTTCTCAAAATGAAAAAAAAAAATATGGAGTGATATTCATACATTTTGTGGTTACTTTTCTGTCAAACAGATTAAGCCTAAAGTAGATCCCTGGCAGCAAAAGCTTTTGATAAAAATGAAACAATGGAAAAAAGTGGATAAGATGCTGAACGTTCTTTCAAAATTTGTAGAGGTAATATAACTTGTTATTTCAAGATATTTTAACTTATTTATTCATTTCCAATGAAACTGAAACATCTATAGAAAGACTGCCTCAGGTTTATGTGTCATTTGTATATGCCTGAATTCACTGAAGACCCTTTACTAAGGTGCTTGCTATAGAGAGATTTCTCTCTTTCCTTCTTTCTTTCTTTCTCAGTTCAGTGGTTTCCAAAGGCAACTTCAACACTTGCATAAATATTCAAAAGCTCTGAAGTTCACCCAAGTCAGGTTAAAACCAGCCCTGGAATTTATGTGTCAAAGGTGTTAAAAAAATTGTTCAGAACATGCTTTCTTTTTTGTGACCAAGGTTCAGGCCCGTGGTCAAAAGACAAGGTGAGATACTGCACTTGTGAGGCACAAGTCTAAAATTCAGTAGGGCATAGGACAAAATGCAGCCTAAGCCATGCTTCCAGTCCATGTGAGACTGTTCTATTCCTGAAATGTCACCATGCTTCTTGGTTTCCTCTTGCTGCCTTCTTCAGGGGCTGCATGGGGATTGTGGGTGGCACAGAGTAGAAATGGGAAATGGGTGTCAAAAATAACCCACAACCAAAACAACATGAAAACAACCAGAAACAGGCAGAAGCAGGCAGATCTGGCTCAGTGGGGTTTTGCTACCTCTGTGTTGGTGCCATGGGCTGCATGTGGGGATGGTGTCTTCTCTGCTGCCTAGCTGCTCTGTGCTGGACATCCATTACTTAAGATCTCATCACTGTCCTGCATCCCCTTTAGCTACTTGCTTTGTCCACACCTGAAGCTGACATCAGTGGAAGTAAGCCAAATGACTACAGATAGTGCTCTGTATGTATTTATTTTTCCTGATTCTTATTCAGTATTTACTTTCAGGGTTCTCTCATGAAGCATCTAAGGGCAATCTATGCTTTTTATATGTGTAAATTTTGCAGCTTATGTAAATTTTTTTGCAGAAAAACTGAAATTGTCTTTAAAATATGCCAGTTAATCGAATGTTTTTCAGTGTTTTGATGATACTCTCTTAAGAAATAAAAAGATTAGGTATTTACTGTAGCTTTTTTTTTTTTTTTTAATTTAGGACTGCGATAATCTTTCTTTTGTGATCCCTGTTTTCATACCCTTTAACCATGCCAGATATTTCACAAAGAAACCATTCTTTTGTATCTTGCCACAGCACAGCATATAATTTCTCTGGAAAACTTGGGCAAAAGCCATCATCACCACAGAAAGAAAGTAATAAGAGCTTTGCAGCTCACTGAGACAATGAACAATCATTGTCCTTGCCTTTTCCATGTGGCTTGCCCTGAAAATACTGTATTTTTAGGTTTGGTCAAGAAATATGTGTTTCTCCTTAAGGATGAGGAGTAACAGCAAAGGAGAGAGGAATTACTTAGAAGTCCCACCCCTCCATAAAACTCAGTTGGAAAAAAAGTGATCCTATATCCTTTATTATCTTTATTATGGTGCCTTCTTTACATATGCTAGGACAGAGAAGTCTATCTATATTTTTACCTTACAGAGTACTGGTCAATGTTCACTGGGTGCTCTGAATTGCTCCTGATGTGCTGACTGGTATGTTGATTTGTTTGCCTTGTGAATCTTTCCTCTGTTTTTGATGTGGTTTGTAACAAGGTCTCAGACGTGGAGAAGGTGATGGAGGGTCTCCAGGATCATGCAGCAGCCGTGCTCAAACCACATCCTTTGTGGTCAGGTTCTGCCACTTGTTCTCATGCCTCAGAACAGCAGAACTACGATGACATCTGGAAGGAAGTCTACGCCTTCACTGAACGTCACCAGGTATTTGGAAGAGGAAATGATGAGTAATAGTTAATTAACATGTCTAGAAAGCATTTTTCAGTCCTGACAGAGGGCTCCTCTGACATCAGAGTCCCCCTTTTTCAAAATTCAGTCTCCTGCTCTTTTTGCTAGACAGGGCCTTCTCATCGAACTGTGGACAGGATACCCCTCTGCCCTGGAGCTCACTAGTGGCTGTGCAGCAGTTGCTGGAGGCTATCCAGCAGCTGAACACCTGTGGATCTGACAGCAGATCTCTGATTTCTGCAGAGACCTGTTCTCACACCTGCATGGAAGCAAGTTCCTCTTCTCAAGGGGGAAGTGGAATTAGTGGGCATGGCCTTAAGAAACCTCAGTCGCTGCAAGAACAGAAGCTATGAGAGATCTTAAGTTTCAGAGAGAGGAAACAAAAACCCACTGAGTGGCTTGGCAGAGTTGTGAAGAAGTAGGACTGACCTATCTCTCTGGTATCTGGGGAATTTGTCACATTGCTTAAGTGGCATGCTCAAGCTCTGTGACCAGTCTGCTGAACCTGAAAGTATGAAAGTATGATGAAGATGGACTTTGATTACCTATTTCTTTATCACCCTCCTTTATCGCCATCATTCACAGCCACTGCTTTAAGGAACATAAAAGCATTACGTACAGAACTTCTAAATCTCAGATGTTCCCGTATCTGCAGTCAGATGCTTCATTTGGCTTGCTATGCTGTTGTCAGACTGCCTGCACCAGTGGGCCTTGTTGGCACGTCAAGAAAGTGCTGATGAATCTCCTTGCCCCACTGTTCTTTTATTGCATCATTAATTTTTTTTTTTTTTTTTTTAAGAGGACAGGTCTCAGTTGCTAGAGCTGGATGCAGCCCCAGTGTCATAGCAGCCCATGTCCCTCCATCCTGCTGAGGGCCAGGCTCAGGCAGGGCAGTGAGTGATACAAGAGCAGGAGAAAAGCAGCAGAGGCAGAAAGATATCCCTTCGTACCTCTCTCCTGGTGATGAATCTGCTCCAAGACTGATCCCAACTCTGTTTAAAAACAAACCCACATATTTTTGTCAGGAAAAGCTCCCACATGTAAAAACATGCAATTCTTCTTACCTCAGGCTGACTTAAACCCAGGATACAGGAAATATTTGGTTACTTAATGAAAACTTCAGGAAAGAAATGAAAAGGCACTGCATTGTACATCTCCTGTCAAGTGCATTGATTCTACAGTTGGGCTGGGAGAGATCTCTTGCCTTTTGCAAGAGACATGACTGATCTCAGCAGCATTAGGTTAATTATAAGCCTAATTTTGAAACTTGTCTTGTCACAATGGCATAGCAGTGCTAAACTTAGATCTTCCACAAAAGAAACGTTACTCAAGTCTCAGTGTTTTTAAAATAAAAATTTAGCTGTTACCCAAAAAAGTGACATTGGTCATCTCACTCATTTTCAGACTGCATTTTATGTAATACTTTAGTGTGAAAATTTTAAGTGGACTTGCTTAATAATTATTCAAATAATTATACTAATATTTACGAGAGATGAACAATCAGTACTGTTGAATAACAAAACTATACTTTAATTCTATCTGACCTCATATTATTTTAAATAATAGAGACGGAAGATCTTAGTTTTTCTAAAATTTGAGCAATTAGACATTCTTTAAATTCAACAAGAACAGGATAAGAAAGGATGATCCCACTTGGAAGAGAGGTAAAAACAGGAAAATCAGCTAACAGGTAATGTATCATTGCAAGGATTACACAAAAGAACTTTGTATAAGTGTTTTGTTTAAGTGTTTGGCAGTTTCTTGTGATTTGTTTGGCTTGAAGGAATTTTTGAGTGCTACATACTCGTGTCAGCTTGCAAATGTATGTGACAGTCAGGCCAGTCCTGAGTTTGTGTCCCTTGTGTGTGTACTGTTGCTAGATTGTCTTATGTTGAACGGGATACGTTTTACAAGCACTAATTTGTGAATTAATATTAATAGGATTTTTGATAATCAGAAAAAAAAATGCCAGAATCAATATTGTAAAACCTTTATCACTCTGAAGAGAATTCCAACTGACTCCATCCAAGCTCAAATGAAGTAATAAAATAAATTGGAATAGAGAAGTGGTTTAAATGGTCAACATTTTATATATATATATTTTTATTGTTTGCTGAAATTAATTGGATGACACTTAGAAAATCACTGCCCATAATGTTCCACAATTAAAAAATACTGTGTAATCCACAGTGATTATCTCATTTACACTGCTTCTAATGCCAACTTAATTTCACTGATGTTAGTGGAGTAATACATGTGAGTAAACCTTGATGGGAGGGACATAAACAGGCTCGAGCAGTGAGCCCAGGAGAACCTCATGGTGTTCAACTAAACCAAATACAACATCTTGTACCTGACTTGTGGCAACCCCAATATCAGTACAAGCTGTGAGATGTAGGGATGGAGCATAGCCCTGCTGAAAATGACATGGAAGTACCGCTGGATGCAAACTGGACATGAGTCAGCAAAGTGCCCAGAAATCCAACTATACTCTGGGCTGCATCAAAAGAAGCGTGGCCAGCAGGTCGAAGGAAGTAATGTTGCCCCTCTCCTCTGTTCTGGTGAGAACTCACCTGGAGTACTGCATCCAGATATGGAGTCTTAGGTACAGGAGATACATAGACTTGTTGGAGTGTGTCCAGAGGAGAGCCACAAAAATGGTTGAAGGGATGGAACACCTCTGCTATGAGGACAAGCTGAGAGAGCTGGGGCTGTTCAGTCTGGAGAGGAGAAGGCTCCAGGGTGACCTGACAGTGGCCTTTCAATATCTGATGGGGGACTGTCAGAAGAAACGGGACAGATTCTAGCAGGTTTTGTTGTAACAGGACAAGGGAAATGGTTTCAAACTGCTTCTTTTTTTTAGATTGGATGTAAAAAACATTTTTTATGGTAAGAGTGGTGAGGCGATGGAACAGGTAGCCCAGAGAGGTGATGGATGTCTCATTCTTGTGGACATCCAAGGTCAGGCTTGAGGGGCTCTGAGCAACCTGATCTAGCTGTGCATGTCCCTGTTCATTGCAGGGGAGTTGGACTAGATTACTTTTTAAAAGTTACTTCCAACTCAAACAGTTCTGCATTTCTAACATCTGCAGGAGCCCAGAAATCATTTTCTTCTACAGAAGGTAAAAGGGGGACAGACTAATTGGTCAGATATGTCACTAACCGCGGTTTGCTTGAGCTTTTGATAAAACAGATTTTTGGAACTTTTTGGAAGTGTTCTTTGATCTGACCCTTTCTGCTGACTTGTCCTTAACATTAGGATAGTTTTTTCATACTGCCCAGGGACATTATAAGGACAGGAAATCAATCAAATATCATAGAGTTTTTTGTCATGACAATTTGATATCTGGCTGAATCATGAATTTGATCCTGTATGGCAATTTCTTTTCTTTCGTTTTTCTTTTGTTATGCTAAAGTCTATGCATAAAGCTGGCAAGTAAGAAACAGATGCAGACTCCCCGAAGCAGACTCTAACTGTTTGTGTTGTCACTAGGAACTAAATACTGAGGGTGATAACAAAGCTGTGGCTTGCAGTGAGGAAGGTGTAGGAGACAGCAGCTCCAGAAAGCTTCCAGGATCCTACAGAAAGAAGAATGAAAGAGGGTAAAAAAAAAATGGAATTGTTTATATGTACATAAATACACATATATTTAATAAAACCTGAAGAAAGTTGTTATCAGCCAATGTTTCTCTGATAAAAACAATGGTGTCATCCTTTTTCATTATTCTGTACTTCAGGTTTCCATGACAGTGAGTCTTGTAGGAAGCAGCATACTCTTAGCCAATGGGCATAGTAAAAATTTTTTGCTTTAATATGTTTAGAAATCTCGTTGAGTAGCAAAACTACAATTATGTTTTTCCTGCCTGGAAAAAGGTATGGTTACATGAGCACCTGGCAGCTCCTGGGACTGGAAGAAGGACCAGCAATTGCCAACAAGGAAGACGTGGTGACAAGAGGAACCTATCTTTCCTTTCTTCTCCTACGTCACTTGAGGCTCCGAGAGCTAAAGGTTAAAAAAAAAAAAAATTCTGCATGAATCAAAGTTATTTGGTTTTCATGATGAGGGGGCTGTCCTTCAACTGAAAACACAACCGTGTTTTTGTTCTGGTTCGTTTCAGAGAGTGTGCCTGGGAATCCTGAACTACTTCAGATCTGTGGAGAGAAGCCTTACTATCAGTACTGCAGGCCTCAACCTCAAGGCTGGTTGTCTGATTCCCAGTGCAGAAGACACCTCCTGGATCAGTGCTGCCAAAGGAGGCACTGGTGCTTCTGGTGGCTTACACTCTCAGCCCTATGTTCACTACACACCAGCTGACTACAAGGTGAGGTACCACCTAGCCTGAAGTCTTCCAAAGAATGCACCTTGGCAGATTCTGATGTATTCCTCTGCTTCCATGCAGACTGTGCTGTGATAAATGGCTCAGTCATCTGAGGGATTCGGTTCAGCTTGTTCCTCAAAGCTATGCACTGTGCATTCATGGACTTTATGCCTCTATCTACTAGTGACCTGTAACAGATCCCTGAGAATCTCCAAGCATACAGCAGTACAATGCTGCCTAGATGCCCATTAACTTAGACTGGTACTGCTGGCTCACTCTAAGACCATTATACCTGTGGGATTTTCACACAAAGTAGAGGTTCCTGGGTCATCTAAGGCATTTTGCAATCTATGGAAATAAGTAACTCCTAATGATTTCTGAAATGTATTATTTAGATATAGGTACAGTTTAAGGTTTATTGTTTTGAATTTTGAATGAGAGTATATGGTTGAAATGATAAAATCAGTACAATTATTTTCACAGATTGAAAAAATTATCTTCCAATAACATTCCTAAGCTTTACCAAGCTTTCATTTCCCCAATTTTCTTTGTAAAATATACTGAAGAGGAAGTCATATAGTGCTGACAGTGGTTCAGTGTGATAAAAAATCTTGTCTTCTGAGCTGTAGAATTTCCTTTCAGTTCTCGTACCTAACATTTGTACCAAAATTCTCATGCAAAAAATCCTGAAGAAGTATTATAGTATTTTAATAGAGTTTTATAAAAGCATTTTTGAGTTCACATTTATTTCTCATTTACAGAAAAATTGTTTGTTTTGCTGTAGAAATATACAGAACCAGATACACAAGCTAATTAATGGAGGAATTAAGACTAGAACTAAAAAGGAAGTAGGCTTCCTGCCCACATTTTTTTCTTAGATTAAAGCTTTAAAAAAAGGAAAACAAACCATAACAACCCCAAAACTTCCTGTCTCTAGACATGATAAAAGTCTCTTTAGAAATAAAAAGTGTGGGGAGGGCATGGAGTTTCTGATATTTTTAATTTCTGATATTTTATCATGGAAACAAACAAACAAAAAAACTAATCACCTAAAATTCCTAATTGAAAAGTTCCATGAAACTTGAAAATTGTGATTTTCCATTTCCTATTGAATGTGCTAGTTTATCATCTTCATAGTCTCAAATCAGAAAAGATTGAAAAATTATCCTTTCCAGTGGAGGATTCCATTTTCCTGGAAGCTGGCATTGTGAAAAGCTTTTCTTTTGATTCTGGAACTTTGTGTAATACATCTTTATTTGCAGCCCCTTTTCCTGTTGTGAAGCGAGAGAAACGATGCACAATGTGAGCACTCACTGATCTAGAAATGAGAGAGACATGATTATACAGTGACCTCTCTTTCCCCTAGACTAATACAGAGGTATAGTTATAAACGTTTGAACTTCAACCAAAGCCTAAATAAATATTTACTAATCCTATTACAGTTTAAGTGGCAACAAATTTAAAAGCATGGGCAACAGTATTTCCTTAGTAACAATTTCTAACATGATTTTCTTTTTTTAAATTTTCATATATTGCATTCTGCAATTCTGTCTCCCAGGAACTGAAACAATAATAGAGCCAAACTAATCGAGACCTACCTAACACACTCTGATGTGTGCTATAAAACCAAGACTGTATGACACTGTTTTGTTTTTCTTTTAAATAGTTTCAGTACCTAATCTATGGCCAAAACTGTGATATGAATCATTTCAGACAATAATCACAGTATCACACAATGGCCAGGGTTGGAAGGGACCTCAAGGATGATGAATCTCCAACCCCCCTGCCACATGCAGGGCCACCAACCTCCCCATTTAATGCTAGACCAGGCTGCCCAGGGCCCCATCCAACCTGGCCTTGAACGCCTCCAAAGACGGGGTATCCACAGCCTTTCTGGGCAGCCTGTTCCAGCACCTCACCACTCTCTGGGTAAAGAATTTCCCCCTGATGTCCAACCTAAATCTCCCCTCCCTCAACTTAAAACTATTTCCCCTTGTCCTGCTGTTATCTACCCTTTCAAAGGGTTGATTCCCCTCCTGTTTGTGGGCTCCCTTTAGGTATTGAAAGGCTGCAATGAGGTCACCCTGCAGCCTTCTTTTCTCAGGCTGAACAAGCCCAGCTCCCTCAGCCTGTCCTCAACAGGGGAGGTGCTCCAGTCTCCTGATCATCCTAGTGGCCCTCCTCTGGACATCTGGGTCACTGTGATGGCTCAATACAAAATATGTCTGAAAATGAGATTTGGAGGCAGTTTTTTACCTTCAGTAGCAGACTGCTTGGGATGGATGTTATCAATAACACGGATTTCAATGATAGAAGGCCCTGCAAACAATGCATTACTTTAAATTAAAACTTTTTTCTGTCCCATGCTGAGATTCAGTTTGGAAGAATATAGAAGTATATGTGGGAACATGAGCATTGCTTCATAACCCAAAAAGGAATTGCTAAGCTCCAGTAAACCTGCCCAAAGTTAGAGGAAGAAAACAAAAACCTTCACGTAAACAGTATCTCACACAAATAACCAGTCAATTGTTTTGTTGCTACACATGTATAGCTGGGTATTAATGTTTTTATGGTCATAAGATGTATTTAAATGGCTTGGAAGTCTTTAAATATGACTCTCGAAACAAATACTACAGAGATAAAGTCTTTTTTTTTTTTTTTTTTAAGGTTTGCTTTGTGAGAGCTCTCCAGTTTTTCAGTCACATGCTCTTTCTACAAAATACAGTTGGCTTTAAGCAAGATTTTTAGGAGTGGGAAGTGGTGCAGGAATCACTAAAAAAAAAACCCTCAAGAGATTGAAAGGTGAAATATTTTAATAATGTTGTCTCTGAAGGTATTTAAAAACATAACTGAAAACCCCTCTACCTGCTATGGTGAAGTTACACTGGCTTTTGCCGAGTTATTTACCTAAATCAATATGAAACTGATTATTCTATAAACAATTCTGCACCCTGTCACAAGGAGTGCTGAAACAAATAATCCCTTTAGAAGAATAAGGAAAGAACAGTTCTCACCAAATGAAAAAAAAAAAAGAAAAAAAGGAATATTTCTGATGAGGCTGATCCAACATTTTGTTTAAATGAGGTTTATGTTTTGCACAGCTGTCTTATTAACTTGAAGAGAATGAATAAGTTCTGATCCAGTGTAGTTCTGCGAAGCTGGCAAGCTGTTCTCAGTACATTTGCACTTGAATGCTGAAGTTTCCTATGACTAAAGCAAATACCTTTTCTCTGTCTTTTCTTTAAATAGAATTTTGACATATCCAGATGAGAGCAAGATAAGTTTGGGTAGCACTGGGGATTTAGTAAAGGCAAGCATTAGCAAAGCTAGTGAAAGGAGGAAGCGCCAATATACAGTGCATTTTTTTTTGGCACTAAAATGAGAACAAAGGTGCACTGAAAACAAGGAAGTAATAAAGACAAACAGTGGACAACTAGGAGCTTGTATTTACTTGCTATATTCTTAGAAAAAGAATCATTTCTAAAGGCTTCTATTGCTGTACACATGCACTAAATAAACCAAGCATTTATTTACAGTGGGAGATTAATTTCTGTAATTATACACCTAGAGATAGGCGTGTGTAATTCCCTTTGTGGCACTCCTACTCAAGAAACAGAATATTTTGAAACCTAATGCGTCACTTCTGCTGAATGTAGAATTCCTGCCTGGGGTGTTACCAAGTTAGCAGTGACTCATTGCACATGTAGACGATTCTCTTCTTAAAATGCTGAGTTTTTTTAGGAAAGTGAGGTCACTGTTCAGCTATTCTGTTGAATGAATGCTGACCTTATAAAAATCTGGAACATCAGTCAATGGGTGTTCCTTCTAATTACTGCTAAATACTTTGCCTATGTGAGCTTCTCTACAAACCTCGCCAGTGTTATTTACCCAAGAAGTCTTCAGAAAATGTGTTGACTTCATATTAAAATGTCAGAATTTAAGACTTCTTTTGCAAAATTTGAGCTAAAAACAAAACAAACAAACAAACAAAAAAACCCAAAAACAAAGAAGAAATTCTATTCTAGGTCAAAAGCTCTCATTTTGAAGCCTCTTTGGATCTTTTTGTGGACTTTGATATACGAAGGAAAAGCTAGCCACAGTAGAAATTTTATACAGTTTATTTTTTAACTCTTTACAGTATGAAATGTAGTTATAAAGTATAAAGAGTGTAGGTGTTACTGAAAAAAAAGGTGTATTTTGACAATATTTTATTTTTTTGTTCTTTGATAATGACAAAACTCCGTGTTACCAGGCCTGATCCATTAGTAGATTGGCTGATTATACCAAATTGCAGTAGAACTGACTGCTTCTATCTCTGTTTCTCTGGAATTTTTTTGCTTGCAGGTTCACAGCGCTCAGTTCATGGAGTTTGCAGATGTGGAAAACCATGATGACTTTCACACTTGTGAAGATGGATATATCCACTCACAGGACCAGCATGGGACTTACATCATATATGATGTGGCACTGGAGGACCTAAAGGAGCTTGAAAACAAGCTGCTGCTTGTGGCCAGCCAGTACATCGAGAAAGATAAAAGTAAGATATCTACTGATCCAAACCACATGGGATAGAACGGTTTGCTGTTTTCAAGGTGGACCAAGCCTATGACTTCTTGAATAGTTGTACTTCTTCAGAACCATGTTCTGACTGAATGTTTGGGAACTTCATCTTACTAGTTAAGTGATAAATGTGGTATGAAGACCTAAGTAGGCATGTGAAATTGCTTGTCATATATTGTTAATATCACAATTGTGCACTCATATGGGGTCACTGACATGAAAGTCATCCTGGAGGCAAAATAACACAGCAAGGACATGTATTGATGTATTTAAATAATACGATGAGCAAATACGTCTTCAAGGCATAAAGACAGTCAGAAAAGAAAATGTTAATTATTTCTGAATGTTTTCAATTAATGTATTTGATGGCTTTTCTGCAGAATTAAATGCACCTCTGAACACTTTAAAACTTTTCTTGGTTGTAAATAAGAAGCTGCATAATATTTGGTGCTGCATACTTTTTTGTTTACCTTGCTTCTTTTTGTTATAGTTGGAACAAGATGAGGCAGACTGGATTAAAGATTTCTAAAAAGAGCAGCCATACTTACAGTAGAATAGTGAGGAGAAAGGAGCTAGACATTGTAGAAAACTTGGGAGGAGGCATTAGAAAACAGTACGTAAATGGCACGTACACATATGATATTCAAAGAAATGTAGAAAATATTTCTTGAGTTACTGGAATAGCTTTCCGTATGGATGGGATAATATTTTGGGAGTTTTACCATTCTTCCCTAAAACCGAATGTGTGGACATTCTATGTTAAAAAGGGGAGAAGTGCTGCCCCTGAGAAAACAGTCAGGAACAGGTTGAGAGCCTGTGGACTAAAAATTTGGGACTGGACAAATAAAGGACAGCTGGTGATTGGGCTCTACTACAAGCCACCTTGATCAAGGGGAGGCTGTTGACAAGGCCTTCTTGCTTCATCTGCAAGTGACGTCACACTTGCAGGCTCTCATCCTGATGAGGGATTTCAACCATTCAACCATTCAACCAGATACCTGCTGGGAAATAATGCAGCGAGCTGCAAGCAGTCCAGGAGACTTCTAGAGTACATTGGCATCAACTTTCTTGTTCAGGTAATAGACATACCCACCAGAGGTGAAGCACTGCTGGACCTGTTGCTCACCAACAGTGAAGAGATCATAAAAGAGGTTAAGATTAGAGGATAAGATTAGAGGCTGCAGCGACCATGCCCTGGTCAAGTTCATGATCTTGAGTAACATGGGCCCGGAAAAGAGTGGAATCAAGATGCTGAATTTCAGGGGAGCGGACTTCAGGCTGCTAAAGGAATTGTTGGAGGAGATCTTCTGGAAGGCTGTCCTTAGAGGCAAACGAGTGGAGCAAAGCTGTCTACCCTTTAAGGATTTTTTACCCTTTAACTTTTCTGAGAGCTCAAGAGCTCTCCACCCCCCACAGTAAGATATCGGGCAGATGAGGCATGAAACCAGCCTGTGTTTTCTCTGTCTCTGCCTCTTTATGTGGGTCTCTTTGGACTCTGGCCCTTGCCTTTTACTTCAAAGAATACTTATCAAAAGATGATAGATGAGACATGTTAAACTAAATGCCTAGTGCACTTGTTCTTTGCTTCGTAGAGTACTCTGGGGCCCTCCAAATCTTATGGGACTTGACTTTTCCTGGACTTGAGTTCCCTGGTGAGCAAAAAGCGCAACTCTGTGCTATAAATAAAAATAAGTACCACAAGCTCTAGGACTGCAGGCATGTGGAAATCTCTCTGATACTGACATCTGCTTGTTTCCTACTTTTTGTTTTCCTTAGGCAGTGTAACTTGTGGGAAATCCAGTGGCAGCAATATTGTTGAGTGGGCACATGCCTTTGTGGATCGGTTTGCAGTGTTGTTTGACCTTTGGACCTGTGAAACTGCTCTCTTGGAAAAAAAATGCCAGGTACAGGTATTTTTCTTGGTCTGGAAACAGTGACTTGCAATCAGCTCACTTCAGGTTGTTTTAAGGCTCCCTTTCCGCAGTATTTCCTGTTGTGAATACATGTGGATGGTGGTACAAGTTCCCGATGCACAGGGACGTGCTGCTGGGCTGGGATGAGCCCAGAGGGCTGGAGCTATTGGGTACTGTAAATTGGGCCCATGTCCTTATTTTGCAATAAGGAAACAGAACTGTTCTTGTCAGGTGCATTTGTAGCTGCTGTGCCAGGGATTGGCAGCATATCTGCAAGGTCTCAGTGAGACTGCCCATCAGGGTAAGAGATGATTAGGAAGGACAAGGCTACACGATGAGTGCTGGGGTAAACCCCTGCAGAGCTTGAGTCCTCAAAGAGTCCCAGATGCCAATTTTATTCTGTAGTCCCGAAAAGAAGAGGTTCAGTCTGCAGCTGGTTGGGCTGGATTACCCTTTGTCAGAAGAAAGGAGAGAGGTATTTTACAGGATATACTATAGAAGATAGTCCTTTCATCAGTACAAGTGATATATAACACTATATACATTACAAATTTATTTCTTCTTTTTTAGTTAATCTACTTGAGCCAAAAATGCCATGATTTTCTGTGGGATAAATTTTGTTTAAAAAATACTAGTTATGTCTATTAAGTGGACTGTAGCTTTGCTGTTCACTATGGCTGCTGCATATTCTGCAGGTATTCTCTTTCCTCTCTGAATCTAGTCACGTGTCTGTATTTTGCTGTGGAACATGTGTATATATTGTTTTTGCCCAAAGATTAGCCTTGATATTAGACAAATTCAGAATAGGAGACCCAGAGGAACTTGATGTTTTGGGGGGGAGAGGGAGGGTTGGACTCGATGATTGCTGGAGGTCCCTTCCAACCCCTACGATTCTGTGATTCTGTGATTCTGTGATTCTGTGTATGGGACTCACCAGACCCCAGAACAACAAAGAGAATGTCAGGAAGGTAACGTCAGGTAAAGTAGCAGATAGACCACTTCAGAAGCAGAGAGAAAAGGCAGTAATTAAGGTCGCTTTAATATACTTGAAATGTTTTCTTTTCAGTCCTGGGATAGCACAGGGCAGTTCTCAGAATAGGAATGCCAGAGGATGTTAGGGAATCTCCTGTGTGCCACTGAAGAGGCTTTAAATAGAAAAGCTTTTAAACTAAAACAGTTGTAGGTAGTTTAAGAATCTCATAGGACCCCTCTCCTGTTTTCATAGTGGTGCCTTGTGTGACAGCTATGTAATTGCCTAGCCCATAAGTTTCTGCTCTCATCCCAATAGACCTCACTTTCCAGTGCTGCATCATTACCTCTGCAAATCTACCTTTTATTTTTATCACAGATCTTCTGTATTAAGAAACTTGCTTTTTTTTTGGAGGGGGGGGGGGGGGGGGGGGGGGGGGGGGTAGAAAAAGAGAAAAGAAAAAAAAAAAAACACACACAGAACAAAAAAAAAAA